GGGGGGGGGGCAGGCTATTTTGAGCTTCCGATGACCCCCTGCCCCAGCTACGAAATTATAACTGAATTGCTATCCCAATAACTTCTGCCTGTTCTGACCTAGGCTTCCCAAAAGCACGAAGTCGACTCCTCATACCGATAAAACCCCTTTTATTTAGGTTGAAGGGAATTCCTCTCCGGCAAAGTCCCGGCAAACAGTCTTTCAAGAGATTTCACAACTACAGACTTTTATCAGGCTTGGAGAGTTGCCAGGCTGATCTCTTCCAAAGGCCACGCTGTAGCAGCAATGACTTGGCAAGGAGTCACTTCACCCTAGTTAAATGAACTAATTGCTTCCTGCAAACCCCTTTCACTCCTCTTTATTCCCTCTAGGAGGGGCCATTCACCATCCGCCTGAGCCTTTACTCCTGAGTCGACCCTTGTTCCTTAACCGTTCCCTTCTCCTGGCAGCTCTGCGCATGCGCACACTGAGAACAGGCTCCAGCTGTTCTTCTTCCCCACTGATCTCTGACTCCGAAGGCAGCTGATAACTGTCGGACGGCCCTGGCCCCATCTCTGCCTCCGATGCAGAGCCTTCTCCAAATTCCAGGACTGGCTCATGTTCCTCCCCAGCCTCCTTACTGTCCGAGTCTGCCACCAGCTCCGCTAGCCGCTGGCAGGCCACAACACTTTCGAGGTGCATCTGCAGATTTCTGGGTGCAAACTCCCCACACACACAAAAAACAGCAGACAGGGAGCAAACGTTCCCTCCCTTTGCACACAGAGGCAACCAGCACACTTGCAGGAGTTTGGAAATGCTTCTGTTTACTGGTGGAACTGGTCCCCGCTTGCAGTGCCATCCATTTTATTATGATGATTATCCCTGACCTCGCTCCGCTGAACCAGGTGAGGAATTTGTCCTCCTGCATCCCTGCAGGGACGACGGGATGCCTTGCTAAATTTCTCTGGGAGAAGTTTGCAAATAGGGCAGGGCGGCGCACACACCGCCTGCCTGCTTGGCTTCCAGCCCAGCCGCAGCCTTTGCCGTCCTTCCTTTCGGCATCTCTGTTTGCAATTTTGGGTTTGTTTGTTTGTTTGTTTTTGCCCCGCCCCCTAGGAGAATCGAGGTAGCAACCTTTGATTATCTCACAACAAGTTTGTCATTTTGTAGATCTGGGGTATGGGATTCCCGCTTGGTCTCCTTGTTCTTTTTGGCCAGGACGGTCTACCCTTCCTTACCGCCACCCCGGAATCCTAAGTTTTCCCCCCCGAGAATGCCCAAGGCAGAATTTGGAAAACCAGAAAGGAGGAGAGTCATAATGAACTATTTTGGAAAGGAGGAGATGGGTGTGCAAGTCCGGGGTTGCATCTCCGGCCTGCTTCTCCTTGCCCCAAAGGGCCCAGAGAGAAAAGACCCCCAACCACAAATATATTCGAAGTAGGCGATTTGGTGTTTCCACTGCTTTGGAGCAGCCTGTTAATTGAATACAGTTTTTGGTGGTTTCTCAGACTTGGCGATTAGGAGGAGAGGAGGAGGAGGATTATGGGATCTTTGGCAGTCTCTGAGCTTGGTGATTTTCTTGCAGATGTTTTCATGATCCAACTAGATAATATTATCAGTGCCAGGAGGAAATGGGGTTTGTGAGGGGGAGGAGGGAGGAGGAGGAGGAGGAAGAAGAAGATGATGATCCTTGGTGCTCTCTGAGCTTGGTGGCTTTCTTGCAGATGTTGTAATATCAGACTAGGTAACATCACTGAAATCTTTTTCCAGGCCATGGGCTAACATTGAGCCACTGACTGGCAAGGTTTGAAAGACCAAATGAGAAAGCAACGCCTACCTTCGCGAGTTCCTTCGGCTAAGACGGATTCATTGGCCTCTCAGGCTCTCTCTGTTCCATCTGATAATATTTATTTTTTTTAAGCTCCCAGCCAAAGAAAAAGACAATAATCCACAATCATATCAACTTCCTGGCGGTTTGATAGGTAAAGTGAGGCTGTGTGGGGAAGTTATGATCTCTTCGTGAGGCTTCCGGCCCAGTTATTCGTGCCTTGAATTCGATCCGTCGTCTTCTTGAGATCCAGAAAGAACCAAGGTTAAACAAATCATAGTCACCACACTATAAAAAAGACACTGAGCCTCTGGAAAGGGTGCAGAGAAGAGCAACAAAGAAGATTTTCTCCTAAAGTCTACCCAAGCCAAGGATATATTTTTGCCACCCAGATGCCGCAAAGAATTGCACCAGAGCAGCCAGAACCCCATCCCTGGGTTGACTTATCTAGAAATCCATTGATGTCAGAAAAAAAAATCCACTCTCGTTCTGAGATGTTGACTGTTCCATCTAAAATAAGCTAATTAGTGCCTTCTGAAGATAACTGCTCATAAATCGCCAAAAAGACAGCAGGTGGGTTCATCCAGGATGCAAAATCGTGATGCACAATCCGGAGAAACAATAGTTTGGGTTAACCAAAGGATGAAGGATAGCCGCTTTGGATCTGAAGGACTGTCCCATAGATGGGGCAGAATTGCTCCAGAAAATTAGGGGACTAGAGCAGTGGTCCCCAACCTTTTTTGTGCCACGGCCCGGTACCGGCATCACAAAATGATCCGCGGCCCGGTACTGGCATCAGCACGCATGACAAGGCAAGGCGAGCCGAGCGACCGGTCAGCCAGCCGTCCCCCGCTTCTCCCCGCCACCTTCAACTCCTCCTTTGTACCTTTGTCGATGGGCTTCGCTTCGGGACGGTCACTCGGCTCGCCTTGCCTGGGGTGCTGAAAGAATCCTCGCGCCTTAGTTTCGTTCAAAGCCCCCCCCCTTTGATGAAACTAAGGCGCGAGGATTCTTTGAGCACCCAAACGCCGCTTTCCAACCGGAAAAGCTCACCTGGAAGCATTTTCTCGTCAGACAAGATGGCAGCGCCCAGCAAACCAGCGGCCCGGTAGGAAATGTTCCACGGACCAGTACCGGTCCGCGGCCCAGTTGGGGACCCCTGGACTAGAGGATAAAACATATAGAGAATGGTTGCAGGGACTGGGTATGTCCAGTTTAATGCCAAGGACTAGAGGAGACATGATAGCAATATTGCAGTATTTGTGGGGCTGCCGCAAAGAAGACGGAGGTGTCACCCTATTTTCCGAAGGACCTGAAGGAAGGAGAAGAAGCAACGGATGGAAACCGACCAAGAAGAGAAGCAACCTAGAAATAAAAAGAAATTTACTGACAAAGGAGGACAATTAACCGATGGAACAACTCGCCACCAGAAGTTGTGGATGCTCCATCACTGGCAGTTTTGAAGAGACTGGACAACGATTTGTCTGAAATTAGATAGGGGTCGGACTAGAAGACCTCCAAGGGCCCTTCTAACTCTGTTATTCTGCTAAGATGAAGATTTTTTTGGCATTCAACCCAGCCATTGATTCTGTGGACTTGGAAGTGCAGGTAATCCTCAACTTACAACCATTCATTTAGTGGCTGTACAAAGTGACAATGGCACTGGAAAAAATGTGATTTATGAACAGTCCTCGCACTTACGACCGTTGCAACATCTCCTCGCATCATGTCATCCAATTTGTGGCGCTCGGTAACCGGCAAGTATTTCCGAAGGTTGCAGGGTCACGTGATTGCCATTTGCGTCTTTCCCAACAAGCGGTCACTGGAAGAATGATTCGCTTAACAACCCTGTGATTCACTTAACAGCTTGCTGTGATCTGCTTAACAACCATGGGGCAGCAAACTCCAATGTGACTCACTTATAAATCGTT